AAGTCTGGAAGGTAATTTAAGGTACCGACGTTAACTACAATATCTGAAAAACTATCAGACCTACTCCAGTCAAAGTTGGTATGAGATTATTAAACAGTCATACATAACTGGATATTACATTTAAAGACAATCTGTGCATGAATAAAAAATCTGTCTATTTAGCTATCACTATATTTCATCAACAACCAGACCTGTTCGTCACGGGTGGAACGAGCATTCATTGAAACAGCCATCAACTCGAAAGTGTGCACGGGAATCACGCACGAATACGGTGTTAGCATTGGGCGTCTCAATGTTCGTGATTCCCGTGCACCCTTTCCAGTAGAGTTGAAATTTTATCTCATAGGAAAAAATTAATAAAGAAATAAATTTCATTTCATATTCTGATTACGGTAATCCTTTACAATGGGGTGTTGGAGTCGGAGTGCGAGACTGTCGTATAAAGCCGATTGTCGGATCAACGAGTGTTGGATTAACGAGACTTGACTGTATTTTTGTTTTAGAAATAATTTATCTTCAGGTTTTACTCCCAAAATAAAATCATTGCATATGAACTGACACAGAATGATAACACATGCTATGGCTTTAGCAAAAGAATGTTTAAAGTGGCATAAAATCCAACTCAATCATTTAGTTACTTCTCACTATGATGATCCCCCCCCACACACACACACACACACACACACACACACACACACACACACACACTAAAAAAATGTCATTACTCTGGACTAGAACAAGCAGACACACACACACACACACGCACATGCACACGCACACTCAAACACAGACACAGAGACAGACAGACACACACAGACACATGGACACAGCCACACACACATACCGTAACACACACACACACTGATACACAGCCACACATACATACCGTGACACACACACACACTGACACACAGCCACACACACATACCGTGACACACACACACACTGACACACAGCCACACACACATACTGTGACACACACACACACTGACACACAGCCACACACACATACCGTGACACACACACACACTGACACACAGCCACACACACATACCGTGACACACACACACACACACTGACACACAGCCACACACACATACCGTGACACACACACACACACTGACACACAGCCACACACACATACCGTGACACACACACACACTGACACACAGCCACACACACATACCGTGACACACACACACACTGACACACAGCCACACACACATACTGTGACACACACACACACTGACACACAGCCACACACACATACTGTGACACTGACACACAGCCACACACACATACCGTGACACACACACACACTGACACACAGCCACACACACATACTGTGACACACACACACACTGACACACAGCCACACACACATACCGTGACACACACACACTATATATATATATAAAATAATAAAGTCCACGTTAGTCCAACATCTTCTTTATATCAGTTTCAGACATAGTACTTTTGCTGTCTCATGACTTCAGCTCTTCAGTGTAACTGACAACGACTGTACTGATACTGATCAGTGTATTGATATAAAGAAGATGTTGGACTAATGTGGAGTTTATTGTTTTATCATATATTACATGTACACCGAGTGAACATTTACCTCATTTTTGTGTATATATATATATATCTAGAAACACCCAATCTCACCTCACCTTACCCCAAACAGTTGTTGCATGTTTCCAAACGAACAGTGCATCTTTAATAAACAGGCATAGACAGAGGTTAATAAATATGCAATTCAGTGTCATAATGTAAATATTTATGAGATAATTATCAATAGTAAATTGAGTTTAGCATTCTGATGCTGACGTCCACAATTACCATATCTGTATTTTCATGAATCTAAAATTTCTGGTGGAATATCCATGACATCCCAGCTTGTGTAGTCGACGATGTCTCCTGAACAGTAACGAAGTAGTTATGAAGGCGTGTTGTACATGTGGCGATAGCGGTCAGGTCTGCATGTCATGGTACAGGTAGTCAGACGTGTGCTCGCTGCCATGGAATGTAGGCGATGAAGTGTCGGCCTGAAACCTTAAACCTGTTTGAATGAAAGATGTCCTACTTCATTCCAACAGTAATAGAATAAAACTTTGGTCAAAAAACTTTTCTTGCCATGATGATGAAGGACTGGCACTTAACAAGGCACACCACACACATCCCACACACCCCACACCCGCCACACCCCTCACTTTCACTTGAAGTAAAAGGTGACTATGTTTGTCGTAAGAGGTGACTAACGGGATCGGGTGGTCAGGCTAGCTGACCTGGTTGATGCATAACATCGTATCCCAATCGCGCGGATCGATGCTCATGATGTCAATCACTGGATTGTCTGGTCCAGACTCGATTATTTGTATGCCCGGTCTTCTTGTTCCTTACCTATCCTTCTAATGCTGTATTAAATGCATCTCAAACACTGGTTCTCACTCAGATAACCGCCAATTAGGCCAGACAAATTTCTTTTCTTGTGTCTAAC